GAGGACCTCAAACGCCTCTTCACCAACCTTCCTTGTAAATGCCTCCTCTGGGAGTAGCCAAGTTGAGAGGGTCAGGGAGAAGAGAAAGCAAATGCATCTCAGTCCTTCTCCATCACTACATCCCTCTACTCCTCTGAAGGCTCCTGGAGCAGGAATTCTCTGGAGGCACTGAAGGAATGGTGTCAATGTCTCATAGATGCAAAAGCACTGGGCATCCTTCTCAACTGGCCGCTTTGGGCTGGAGAGAGAAGTCTGAGAGCCACAGAGGCAAATTGACAGGGAGGACCTGCCCATAGAACAACTATTTTTATTACTGTTGGCAATATTATTAAATAGCACCTGTCTCTTTGATCATGCATTTTGGGGAACAATGTTGGATGATCTATTTGGCAACTCATCCTTCCACCGGAATGGAAGCTCCAGGTGACTCAGGGATGGGTCTTATGCTCTTGGTTTTGGTACCAGGCTCTAACGCAAGACACCCTAAGTCAGTGCTTAGTGTGTATCGAAAACAGAATGACCGATGAATGAATCAAACAAACAAACAAAACCCCAGACCCTGGTCTGCCCACCTTCTCCGGTGTGGCTTCTCCCCACGTCATCCAACTGAATCTTCTGCTGAGCTTCTTCCAGCTGCTTCTCCACTGCCCCCAAATTCTTCTGCACTTGCTCCCACTTGCTCTGGAAGAAAAGGCTCCCACAGCTGTACAGTGGATTTCAACCCACATCGACCCAGGAGGACAGGGAGGAGCTGCTCCATAGACCCAGTAGGACAGGGCGGAGCTGCTCCATAGACCCAGTAGGACAGGGCGGAGCTGCTCCATAGACCCAGTAGGACAGGGCGGAGCTGCTCCATAGGGTTCGGAGGCTGTCCCTCTTTAGAGGAGCAGACTACCTCATGGCTCTACCTCCTAGTGACTGGTGGGTGTGAACCATTGACTTTACAGTTAGCAGCCCTCCGTGTAACCCGCTGAGCCATGGGGACTCCTTCAAGGTATGCATAGAAGGTCCATAGAGTTGGCAGGCACTGCATGACGCTAAGCCACGGCCTCTCCTAGACCAAGACTTGTGGCTGCCGGCTGCCACAGCGCCTGTCTCTGGCTCCTGGTGACCTCGTGAGTAGGCAACAGAAACACAGCCTCGTCCTGGGCAATCCACATGAAGCTGGCTGCAGACTAGACCACTGCTGTCCACATGAGCTGGTTTGGAGAGACCTAGCTCACCACATCTTTTTCTCTAGTCTGTCTTAGTCTGGACACTCCGCGGAAGTCGGTTCTGTGGCGCAGCTACATACCACCACGGACAGATGGGTGGTTGTTGCCCATGTGATGCATTGGCCAGAATCCAACCCACGTCTCCAGTATAGAAGGTGAAACCTCTCCTGTGCACTCATCAGAGACCCATGTGGTCCTCAGGGCCTTGGCCATGGGAGTCAGAAAGCTTGTGCCTCTTATCTAGACTTACCGACCCAGACATGAACCCAGGGAACAGGCCCAACTCCTCCCAGCCGTCCTGCTCAGCCACCCAGATGGCCCACCTTCAGCTCCTGCACTTCTCGGAAGGTCCTCAGCCGCTCTGCCCGCTCCACCTCCAGAGCCTGACAGGCCACATCCCCCTTGAAGCGCTCATCCGCCAGCTCTGTGGTCAAGTCAGCAATCTGAAACGGGTGGGAGAGAATGCATCGCTCATGTGGCCAGCAGAGTCTGTGCCCCGACATACACTTTGCCACACCACCCTTGGTAAAAACACCAAGGGTTGTCATGGAAACCACTGGGTGGCACCAGCAGTTTGGACAGATGTACTCAACTAAAGGTTTCAGTGGTCTGAATCCATACATGGTGGTACCGAGAAAGAAAGGCCTGGCAAGAGCTTCTTTTAAAATCATAGTCCCTGGTTACTCTTTGGGTCTGGAACAGAATGGATCCCCATGGCTCCAATGACAGGCAAAACCAGACAGAGTCTATTGGTGAAGCGGTAATGCTAGGGAGGCCTGCGCTCATTCAAACTGTCAGCTGTTGGAGATTCAAAGGGCAGCATCGGCCCAAGGATAATGGTCAGAAGGTAGGAATGGGTTAGGATGTGAAGTTTTTACTGATGAAGATCAAAGACTACTGCCTTCAGCATGAGTGACCCCTCAGTGTACAGGAAATAAAGAGCCCACTAACAGATCACATCAGTGATGGAGAAGGCTGTCGTCGTAGCTGGATTCACACTCATAGAAGCAGAACTCAAGAAGCCTCGCTATGTATTGCACTGGGCAAATCTGTTGCACAAGACTTCTTCTGATTGTTAGACAGCAAAGGTGTCACTTTGAGGACTAAGGTGTACCTGCTCAAGATAGGATATTTTCCATGGCTCCTGGGTGTGGGGAAGCTGGACAATGAATAAGGAGGACCAGAAGAACGGAGGCATTTGATTTACAGCATTGACCAAGAATATTCAATATCCCGCAGACTGCCAGAGAATGACTAAATCTGCCTAGGAGAAGAAAAGTGGCCCTGGCAGTATACTGTTACCTGTTGGGCTGTTCACCACAAGGTTAGCCGTTCAAAACCACCTGCCGCTCCCCTGTCAAGATTTGGACTTAGAAACCCACAGGGCCAGTTCTGCCCTGTTCTATAGGGTCGCTGTGCGTCAGAATCTCCATGGAAGTGAGCTTTCTTAGCTTGGGGAGAAGTACAGCCAGAATGTAGCCACAGAAATGAGAATGATAAGACTTTATCTCACATATGTTGGACACGTCATTAGGAGAGACCAGTCCTTGGAGAAGGACATCAGGCTAAGAAGAGGGCAGTGAAAAAAGAGGAAGACCAGCAAGGAGATGGATGAACACAGCAGCTGAACAACTAGGCTCAGCCACATGAGCGGTGAGGATGCTGCTGTCCATAGGGTCTCTACAAGATGACATTGACTTTCCACTAAGAATGATGTCCTTGCGCTCCACTGTCAATTTGTGGTCCTGCGGTGACTGGCCTGTCACTGTGATGCTGGAAGCTATGGCCCTGGTATCTTAAATACCAGAAAATCACCCTGGGGGAACAAGTTTCAGCAGAGCTTTCAACTAAGTAGAAGCTCTGGTGGGTTTGTGCTGGGCTACTAAGCATGAGGTTGGGAGTTCAAACACACCAGCCACTCCGGGAGAGAAAGATGAGGCAGGGGTGGATAAAACATAGAGCAAAATTTCAGAATAGACTGTTGGGCCTGATCCCAATTTTGTTTGTGTTTGCACGTTAAAAAAATAGCTCTCTTAAAACTATTAATAAGGTTTTTCTTCCCCCTAAATATGTGGACACAAGGTGAACTCAAATTTCCAAGTGGGACATTTCTGTACTATTGGAAAATAAACTGTGTTGTTTTTGTCATCAGGGAGGGGAAAAATAAACAAGTTTCTTTCAAAAATAGAGGGAACTGAGATGGAAGCTACAGACCTCAGGCCTGCAGCTCCACACGTTCTAATTTAAGTCCACCGTGCTTTCCCTTAGGAGCCCTGGTGGCGTAGTGGCTATGCATTGAGCTGCAATCCGCATGGTCAGCTGTTCAAAACCACCAACCACTCTTAGAAAGATGAGGCTTTCTGCTCCCATAAAGAGTTACAACGAGTCAGAAACTCACAAGGGCAATTCTGCCCTGAACTGTAGCATTGCTATGAGTTGACAGTGACTCAATGACAATGTATTGACTTGAGTTGATCCTTTCCCCACAGGACTGGTTACACCAGAGCCTGCTTAGATCAAAACACAGATTTCAAATGAGAAAGAGCAAAGGGGGACATGGGAAGCTGCATGGGAATATTCTGAAGTCACATGGTAAGTAAGTGGTGGATCGGGATTTGAACCCCAATCTGATAGATCCAAGAAATGGCCATCTGTTCGTGGATGCATTTTCCCAAGTTGTCCCAGTCATCGCTGAGGTAGGCTTCTTTTATGCTACGCCTTATACTGATCTTTCCCCTGTGGCCTGGGGGAAATCCTTGCATTACAATGGCTTGATTAAAATGTAAATAATATGGCTCATTCAGGTCTACAGGATTTCATTTCTCCTTATTAAAAACAAAGAAACGCACTGCCATTGAGTCCATTCTGACTGATAGCGACCCTAGAAGACAGAGTAGAAACGCTTCCTGTGGGTTTCCAAAGCAGTACATCTTTATAGGAACACAAAGCCTCATGTTTCTCCTACGGAGCTGCCAGTGGTTTCGAACTTCAGGCCTTGTGATGAGCAGTCTAACATGTAACTTTGTATGGCTGAGTTAACCACCCCCACTGTCTACATCCAAATTTCTCCATAACCCTTGCAGAAGTTCAGTGCATCCTTACTGCCATAGAGAAGAAATCAAATCATAGCGGCCTTATAGGACAGGGTAGAACTACCTCTGTGGGTTTCTGAGACTAATTCTTGCTGGGAATAGAAAGCCTCATCTATCTCCTGCAGCATAGCTCGTAGTTTTGAATTGTTGATCTTGTGATTAGCAGCCCAACACACACCTCACTATGCCATGAGGGTTCCTTAGTGACACTAAAGCAGTAGCCAAAATGGTACAAGTAACTGAAACACCCCTCAACAGATGAATGGAGAAACAGAGTTCTTATGTTCCAACCCATTTGTTGCAGCCACTTTGTGAATTCATCTTGTGTGCATAGGGCCTCAGTTCAATTGGCCTACCGCTCCCTTTGCAGAAAAACAACTACTCAGCACCTGAACAACTACTCAGGCAACTGAAACTGTTATAGTATAGCTTATAATCTGGACAAAGAGCTGTACCTACAACAGAAGAGGCACACAGAGGTATTGTAGCTGAAACAGTGGCCAGCAGGTACAGGCTGGTACATCAGGCATGCCCCACCTCACACCTCGTCCTGCCCTGCCACCAACATGGACGCTAAATTCCGGAGCTGTGCTCTTGCCACCTTAACCAATGAGTCTAGCAATTAATTTGTGCTAGTTATCCCAAGCAAAGAGATTCCACAATCAATTTAATGCATTCACTTTGAGTTTCATAGAACCCAAGTCTCAAGTGCAAGAGACCCTTTGAGGCCTTTCAAACTGGGAAGTGATGAAAGACTATGGAGACAAAACAGCTTCTGGCCTTTTCCCATTCCTACAAATCCCTCTGCCTTCCACAGGGCAGTGGGACCCTGGGGCTTTGTGCCTAGGTGAGGAGGGGGCCCCACACCCCTAGCTGTTAGGAGAAGCGACATGAAAGGCAATTTATTGAGTGAAGAGCTGGGTTTAAAAACCCAGAAGGGTTACTCAAGGACCAATTACCCTCAAATGCTGTGGAAAACCTGCATAGGCTCCACTGGGGGACCAAGAACTGTAGTCTCCAAGGGTCCCTGAGAAAACAAAGTGGGTAGAAGTGAAGCCACTCAGAGTCCAGCAGAACATGTCCTGAGCTCTGGCAGCATTTGTGAAAGGTGAGCAGCGAAGCTTTTTATTGCTGGGAATCTCCCCAGTGGCAGAGGCACCAATCCAACAGCCTCTGCTTGCACAGCTCAATGACACTGATTCTCCCTCCCGGAGGCCTTCCTCCCCCCCTGACATAACCCCCAACCTCCAAAGCTTCCAGTCTTCATCTTTCTGGTTTCTATTGCCCATTCCATCCCATACCGATGGCTCTCAAAGAGCAGCATGTTCAAGGCAGACCTTTTTGTACGAGTTAAGCTGGACATGTGTCATTAACTAGTTAAGCTACGTCACTGTTTGGTTTTCAGAAGAACTTCATTCAGGAAATGGATATTTGGTGGGAGGTGGAGTTACGGTTTAAAGATCATCTCAAGGTACCGTATACACTCGAGTATAAGCCGACTCGAATATCAGTCGAGGCACCTACTTTTACCACAAAACCTGCATAAAAAGTGTGCTGGAAAAACTTGCCTTATACACGAGTATATATGGTAATTGTTTCAGGGGCTCATACAGCCTCCAGGACTCCAGCAGATCAGGGTTCTATGAGAATTTGAAATTCTGCATTGCATGTGTCCTCTCTTTTGGATAGGATCTTGGATCACCATGTTTAGTGAGAGTAGCCAGGCACCACCTAGTTCTTCTGGTCTCATAGTAGGAGTTATTTAGGGAGACAATTGGCTACACATTCCATTATCTTCTTCCTCTTCTTGACTTTCCTGTCATTCCAGATGAGTAGAGACCAATTGGCATCCCTGGGATGGCTGCTTGTAGGGAATCAAGATTGGACTGTCACCGACACTTGCTTTCATGAATCCAGTGGGCATTATTGAAATGTTTAAAGTGTACCAGACCCTGCCCTTGAGGACCCCTCCAGGGAACTGGGAGGAAAAGTCACCACAGTGGTACCCATGTGTCTTTACTCAACTCTGCCCTTGACTCTTATAGTCAAAGATTGCCAGATCTAAGACCCAACTCACCTGCCTGCAGACAGCAGAAAACAACCATCTCCCACCCTCACCCTGTCTTGTTCTTTTCTGCCTGCAACAAAAAAGGCCTCTTTATTCTAAGCTTTGCATAGACCAGAGCTCACACTAACGAAATTTGGAGGCTCGGCATGTTAAGCGCTCGGCACCCATCACCTTCTTCTTCCCTTTCTCTCAAACTCACTGCCATGGAGTCAGTGACAATTCACCGTGACCCTACAGGACAGGGTAGTTTCCCCTGTGAGTTTCCAACGCTGGAACTCTTTAT